TAAGCAGAATTATCCCCCACACGATTTGGAGCTGGCTGCGGTGGTGTTTGCTCTTAAGTTGTGGAGATGTTATTTATATGGGGAGAAATTTCAAGTGTTCTCGGACCATAAAAGCCTCAAGTATATCTTCACATAGAAAGACTTGAATCTCCGGCAGAGAATGTGGATTGAGTACTTGAATCACACTCAACTATCATCCGGGGAAGGCTAATGTAGTTGTCGACGGTCTTAGCAGGAAGTCTCGGGATGAAATCAATTTTATTACGGTAAATAGGTGAAAAATGATTGATGCATTAGAGGAGTACGATCTATGGGTGGATGGACCGGAGTATCAACCATATCTATTCAACCTTGTAGCTCAACCGACGCTTCGGCGAAGGGTAGTGGAGTTGCAATGCCTGGATTCGAAATTCTATTAGATTAAAGCCCGATTGGAGAATGGAGAGGCGATTGAAAGATGGTCTTGGAAGAATGGAGAGTTGAAATATGGGGAGAAGCTATTTGTTCCCGATAATTCGTCCCTAAAGGAGGAGATATTGAGAAAGTGTCATCGCTCCAAGTTTGCTATCCACCCCAGTAGCACAAAGATGTATAGGGACATGAAGCGTCAATATTGGTAGAGGGAAATGAAGCAAGATGTGGCCAAGTATGTGGCAAAATGTGCAGTGTGCCAGTAGGTGAAGATTGAGCATCAAAGGCCAAGAGGAGTCCTACAGTCTTTGTCTATTCCAGAGTGGAAGTGAGATCACATCACCATGAACTTCGTGTTGGGTTTACCACAGACGTCGCGCGGGCATAATGCAGTATGGGTCATTGTGGATAGACTCACCAAGTCCGCTCACTTTTTGGGTATGAAGACCACGGATACATTCAAGACTTTGAGTCAGCTGTATATCTGTGAGATAGTCAAGTTACACGGCGTTCCACTCTCCATTGTGTCGAATCGTGACTCTAGGTTTGTGGCGAGATTCTGGCAGAGTCTACAACAAGCAATGGGGACGAAGTTACACTTTAGTACGACTTTTCATCCCCAAACGAATGATCAATCCAAGAGGGTGATACAGATTGTGGAAGATATGTTACGCGCTTGCGCATTGGACTTCAAGGGGAGTTGGAGCAACCACTTACCGTTGGTGGAGTTTGCTTACAACAATAGCTATCAAGAAAGTATTGGGATGGCACTGTATGAAGTATTGTATGGAAGATCATGCCGATCACCAACGTGTTGGTTAGAAACCAGCGAGAGTAGTTTGTTTGGACCGGACATTGTTTGAGAAACTACGGAGAAGATTCAACTCATCCGAGAAAGGCTACGAACGACGCAAAGTAGACAGAAGAGCTATGCGGACCACAGACGAAGACCCTTAGAATTCAAGGTGGGAGACTACGTATTTCTCAAGGTGTCACCCAAGAAAGGTGTGTTTTGATTCGACAAGAAGGGGAAGTTAGCACCAAGATATACCGGACCGTTTGAGGTAATCAAAGTGGTAGGCAAGGCGGCATATCAACTTCGACTACCAGCCCAGCTATCCAGAGTACATGATGTGTTCCACGTGTCCATGTTGAGAAGGTATCACTCGGATGCAACTCCAGTCGTGAACTTGGAGGAGATTGAAATTCAAGACGGAGCAACCTACGAAGAACAACTGGTAGAAATTCTCGACGCCCAGGAAAAAGTGCTTCACAACAAAGTTATCAGATTGGTGAAGGTTTTGTGGCAACACCATGGAGTGGAGGAAGCTACATGGGAATCGGAGCAAGAAATGTGGAAGAAGTATCCATATTTGTTCGCTAATTGAGGTAAATTTTGAGGACGAAACTTTCTTTAAAGGGGATGGATTGTCACACCCCATATTTTCTTTTATATATGTATATAGATATATAATAAATAATTGTGGTAAAAAAATGTAGATATATGTAGTGATGTGTGTTTGAATTTGGTAGATTGAAAAAATAGAGATTTAAAATGTTAGTGGAAATAATAGTTGAAATTTAATTTTAATAAGTGAAAATATGAAATTTTAGGTCCTAAAACTTGTATTAAATAGGTTTGGTGTAGAAATATGTGTTGGAAAGGTTTGGGATGAATTTAGTTAGCTTAGGAATGGATTGAGAATGAAAAAGGGACGAAGACAAGCTGTGAGCAGTGCACTGGCTGCAACTTCAAGCGCGATTTTGACCTTGATGTAGTCAATAGCTCTCAAAACTTAAAACATGAACGTGTTAGAGCTCTTTCTTATCATTCCATAGCATCTTGAATCATCTCAATCGGAGCTCGGATGAGAGAGTTATGCTCAGATAACGAAACGACGTCGAAATAGTCCAATTAGCTTCGTTTTGCATTTAATGTCTCTATTTGCATTCTAAATCAAAATATAAGAATAATGAGTATTTTTATGCTTCAAATAAGAATAAAAGACTTTAAGAAACACCCTTTATCACCTTTTATTTGCAAACATCGTAAAATTTCTTTAATAACCGATTCGGATAGATAAAATAGAAACTTTAGTGTTTTGGGTGTATGTTGACTTGAGTTTTGAGATAAATCATAAAAATAAATATTTTTAGGTTAAAATAACATTAAAAATGAATCCGGAATGTCGACAAACCTTAGGGTAGTCATATGGATCAAATTGGAGATTCTTAGTGGCAAAATCGTAAATTTGAAGAAACCCAAAACAGCCTGTGAACAGTATTTTCCAGGGCTGCTATGTTTTAAACTCATTTTCTCTCATTTCCTTCACTCCCCTCACATCCCCACACCTCTTGGAACCCTAGAGAGCATTAGAGAGGAAGAAAGGAAGGAAAAAATAAGAGATTCAAGGGTGATTCAAGATTAAATATTCTTGTTCTTCACACCAAAGCTAAGGATTCAAGGTAGGAGTTTTCTCTCATTCACTTACCTTGAGGCTAGGGTATTTATATATGTATGTTTTGACTATCAATGGTATATACATGCTATGGAATCATCATCTCTTAGGCTTTTTGCAAGGATTACATGTTTTGAACAAAGTAGGGTTTAATACCAATGAAATCTCCTTTCTAGTTTTAAAACCCTAATTTTTGGAGAGTGATGTATTTCCTTCATAAATGCTTTCTTTATTATGAATTTCGAAACCTTAGTGTTTTGTGTTGGGTAGAAAAATGATGTTATTGTGATCTCATGTATTTTCTTAGTTGGTTGTGGAATTGTTACATAATATATTTTGAAAATTTTGGGTAGATGCTTGTAAATTGAGATGAATGTTAGAATTGTATGCTTGGTTGGGTTGTTTGTGATGCACATGAGTAAGAGGTTCCTTGTAAAGATGCTCACCCCTTCCCAAGAGGTTCCCGGTAAGGATTCTTGAAAAATAATGTAGTGATTGGTGAGAGGTTCAATGTAAGGATACTCATTTATTTTCAAGAAGTTCCCGGTAAGGATGCTTGAGAATCAAAAGTGACCTGNTAATGTAGTGATTGGTGAGAGGTTCAATGTAAGGATACTCATTTATTTTCAAGAAGTTCCCGGTAAGGATGCTTGAGAATCAAAAGTGACCTGAAAGGGGGTGGAGGTTACCACAAAGTATGTCACCTACCGAAAGAATTGTTGAGAATTGGTTATGACAATTAATGGTTATTATTTGTATCTGGTACTCGCTTATTCATTTAAGTAATATTTTTAAATAAACTTGAGATCCTTTTTAAATGTTACTGTTTTATTTCAAATTATGTATCTATGTTATGTTAAAATTGAGACCGACCATTTTAAATATTTTTCTAAACCTTGTATGGGTTTGGGAGAATTTTTCTACAGAGTTTCGTGCTCACTCCCTATCGCTAACATTTTTCAGATTACCCCCTTGAGGAGGAGGACGTAAGGGTTAAGAAGCCCACTATTTGGGAGACTCCACTGGACGGGAGTGTGGATCCCGAGATGGACGCATAGAGCGACCTCTTTTCCTTTTGTACTAGACTAGGACATTCTTTTGGAACATTATGTAGTCTAGCTTCTTTTGTTTATTCCGCTGCGCTTCCTTAATTAATTTTTGAGATGTAATAGTCATGACTTAGGCTTATTCTTTTGAATAATGTTGTAAATATTCATGGATGAGAAATGAAATCTTGTTTCTTAAGAGATTATATTAGTGCTCTCATGATATGAATGGTTTTAGAATGTAATATCGTCCAAAGTGTGTTTTGGGGTGTTACAATATCCGTGTTTAACAAGAGAGAGTGACGGGGCTACAATTTTGGGGTGCAGCAGCTACTTCCCCTGATCATGGAAGCTCGGAAGTGGGATGCAATTGTTCTGACATGTGTGTTGAGCGTTTCGGAGTCTTTTAAGCATAGAGGTGAAATACTGTTGATTAAAATAACGTCCCAACAACAACATTATATTTGTTTGTTGATTTTCTAACACCAAAACGACAGTCTTTTTAATTAATACTAACTGCACTTCTATTATTAATTTTTTAACAGTAGAGAATTTGTCAGCATATTAATTATTAATTTTTTAATACTAAAACGACATTGTTTTAATTAATAATAACAACACTTTTACTATTGATTTTTTAATTGTAAACCAGTGTCGAACTGTGAAGATTAGACGCTTTTTTTCGTTCTTTTCTCTAAATCTTGTTAGATTAACACTTATTTTTATTCTCTAAGATAATTTTTAACTTATTTTTTAATCTATCATAATTTACACCAAAACATAAGATTTACGAGCCAAAGTGGGTTAGATAATTTTTTTGTAGATAATTTCATATCAATCAATATTAACAAGAACAACAACAACAAAAAAAATACGTGTTTTGCATATAAGCAAGGGTAAAATTAGTGTTTTTTTAAAAATGACAGCAGTTTCGTTCAAGCCAAGTAGGACGAATAACCTTAAGGTCCAATGTCTAAGCTTGTGACATGAGACTCTTCTGTGCACCATTAGTTTAATAGCACGAGTTCATAGGAACAAGAGGAAGTAATGAGGCCTTTTAGAGGCACACTTCAAGTTCAAGCCACTGCGCTTTGTATGCTTATTAAGGTTATTCACATCAAAAGGTGAAAAAGACAATAGAAATTGTATTGCTATGGTACAACACGCAAACATCAACAATCATAGAATGCACAATCTACACACTCGTCATCCAAAAACTTAAATAGACTGTACTGCAATTTCCAAGCAATTATATCTAGTCTACCGCCAGTTACTTTTCATGAAGTTGCTTTCAAACAACAAACAAAAATACTTGTCTCAGATCTACACAAACCAAGTCATAAAAGTGTTCCCGTCGACCATTCTTACTTTTATAAAACTTGGATGAGACACAAAATCACACAGGCTTCTCACCGGGCAGATAAGAACCACCTTCAGCTTGGGTGGTTTTCTTCCTATAAAAGAAACCGCTGAGATTAGGCAAAAGTACTTTCTTTGAAACAGAAGTTTTTGATTTCTCCAATTTTCGGACCTCCACGACTTTTTCAGGTGGGTTCTGTTTCTGAACTCGACAGTTGCCTGGTGATGATTCCGAGGAACTCTTTGTTTCTGCCAGAATCCGAGCTGCAGCTTCAGCTGCCTTCTTCTGCTCGCGTTCATGCCACCTCCTAAGTTCACCTTCCACAGCCCTCTTGGCTGCCTCAGCCATTTCTGCCTTCTTCAAAGCCTCCTGAGTAGCAGCTTTCATGTCCTCGACCTCCTTCTGAGTGGCCTCCAACCTCTGAAGGGCCTCATTTTCACCAGCTTTCACAGCCTCCACCTGAGCCATTGCAGCCGCCACTTTCATTTCAGTCAATTTATCAGATTCTTCAACCTTCCGGCTCAACGCCTCAAACTCTTCTCTTGATATTGTGATCTGGGCACCAGACTCGGAAGTTGAGGCACGAGCAGCAATAGTTTTCTCAGATAAAATTTTAATCTGATCAAGAGCCCTCGCCTCAGCTGCTTTTGCTGCTTCTGCTTCCTCTAATGCAACTCCTAGCTTCTTTTCTGCTTCTTCCAGCACGGATCTGGTTGCTTCAGCTTCTTTCTTCAACCCTTCAGCTTGCTGCTTCATCTCCTCTGCTTCATGTCTCGCATTTTCACTTTCAGTTAGTAGCTGTTGGAGTGCAGAAATCATTTCTTCAGAAGCACCTCGTACTTTGGATTCTTCTGAAAGCGCTGCTTCAAGCTCAGACTTAGTTTTCCGGAGCTTGACATGCAGATTCCCAGCAAGGGATTCAGTTTCTGTTTCCTTCTCCTTCAGTTCAGAGTGCTCTTTCTTCACATTCTCCAGCTCCAGCTTAAGGGACTCCACCGAACTTCGGAGAGAGCTTTCCTCTTCTGCCGCTTTATGCAGTGACTCCTTAGCATCATCAAGCTCAGAAGTGACAGTTCTCACAAAATCAAGATCCGAAGTCCTTGTAGTTTCAAGTTCTTTTTGTCGGGTTTCAATTTCTGACACTGTTTCCGCCAGCTGAGTTTCAAGATTTTTGGTCAGTTGAGAATCAATCTCTTTCTTCAAAGCAAGCATTTTATTAGCTAACTCTTCACGGGTAACTTTATATGTCTGCTTCTGAATATCCTTTTCAGCATATAACTTTGCTTCCTCTTGCTGGGCTTGCACAGTTGCAAGCTGCACCTGGTCCATTGATTCCTGTACAGCTGTTATTTCCTTAGATAGCTCACCAGCTCTGTCCACATTTGCTCTGGCTGCAAGCTCCGCTTCTGCTGCATGCTTGATGGCAGCAGCTTTTGCTTCCACAGATGCATCACAATCTTGACGAATTTTCCTTAGCTCCTGTTTTGCAGTATCAAGTTCAGTGATTGCAACCATATATTGCTGTCTTGCAGTTTCCAAGTCCTCTTTCCAAGCACCATCAGTTCCTGCTTGATTGCCACAGCCTGCATCTTCAAGTTGCTTTGCCTGATTCTTTGCAGCTTCTGTTGCCTTAATTGCTGATTCTTTAGACTCACTAACAGTTCTGAGCTTTTGCGTGAGATCGTCAGCCGTTTTTTTAGCCCTTTCAAGCTCCACAAGTGCTTGGGCTTTTGTGGTTTCAGCATTCTTCAGTTGTTCCTTCAACTTATTCAACTCTTTCTCGGCCAGGTGAAGCTGTGTCTCCTTTGCCAATACCCTCTGAATGGTAGCGAAAAAACAGAATGGATAAGTTAATAAACTGCACCCTGATAGTGATAAGAGGCAAATGAACAGATATCAGTCAATTTATCTAATGACTAGCTTGAGAAAAAGGCCAACCTAAAAGGCGTTTCACACATAGAATCTATCTGATTAGCCCACATATGTATTTATCAAAACTTTGTTGAGAGAAATTTAGATGCCAGAAGCACCCCAGCCATACAAATTGCCTTTACCACATACGAAATCAGATTTGGCACTTTTCAATTTAAAACAGGCAATTTATACAAGTGTTTTAGTTACATTAGTCACTGTGTCAACATTTTTTAACAAATGCCCTGGAAACATAGGTACTCTCTAAAATCAATCAAAAAACTTGGTGACATCCATCACTGCCTAAATGCAAATGAAGATGTGCAAGCACATGCAGCAGGATGCGCAAGCACATAACCACAAACACAAACCAAACTCAAGCATGCAAAATTTACTGGAACTTCAATAAAAAAATAGCCATAATCATCAATCTACTCGACTATATATTTCTCCATTTGCTCTATCATGATTTCATCTGAAATGCCTTATATAAGATGAGTATATGACTAATAACCCTTCAAAAGCAGTTTTCGAAAATAGAATTACAAGTGACTGCAGAACAGCAAATACCCAGCATTTCGGTTTCTAAAGAAGGGGGTCGTTCTGTTATCCTCTCTTCCCAAAGGAGAGGGAATTGTATGATCACAGATCAATAATTAAAGTATTATCTCTAAATTCACTGTCACTACTAACATAAAAACTCTTACAATAAATTCTAAAACAAGATAGCAAGTACCTCTGCAGACTGAGGTTTTGCCTTCTTAATGGCGGGTTTTTCCCCTGAAAAAGCACCTTCACCAAATAAATTGACAGCATCTTTGACAGATTGAAATGGCGCCCGGGTATCTATCTCTCCAACCTCCACTTTTGGAGATCCTTTAGTATTTTGATGGTCTTTTGCTACCATAATGCCCTATGTATTATTTCCCAGAGATCAACTGTTGAGAAACAATCAGAAATATCGCTGCTGAGGACCTCTAATAAGGAATTACTCAAGACACATAGCTTAATAATAGTACTAAGGTTATGGAAGTGAACAGACATTAAATATGTCCTACCAGACAGAAGGTGATTTACAGAAGAACTCCACTATTTATCAGATACATACAGCACCATGAACAAGACAGGATAACCAATTTTGAGCTACCAAAGCATGCTACCACCACAAGCGGATTCAATTTCAATTGCATAAGGAGTAGAAGTAAGAATTTTATGTCGAAGTACAATACCATCTATAGCCAACCAAGGAAGAAAATCAAAACTGACAGAAAAACATTGGAACCATGTTTTAATCTCATTCCCTGGCTCCAACATGGTATGAAAGCAGTAGAAGTTGTTCTCATCTCCTTTTACGATCAATAATGCATGTAATATTCAACCGAGGAAAGAATGGGAAACTATAACTCGTAATGTTTGATGAGAACATGAAGAGAATGGTTCTACACAAAATCTAAATATAAATAAATTCATCTTGGCACTGGTGCGCCAAAAATATTACCTGCAACCTGTAAGTTTAAATAAACAATCACCACTTTCCAAAGAGTATATATAGCACAATGAACAATTAAAACTATAAACTCCTAATAACATACATCAAAAATAAATGATACTTTATGAGCACTTCTACACTGGATTTTTTTAGGGTTTCTGAAACCCATTTTCGAAAAAATAGAAATGAAAATGGTGGAAAAGTTCCAGTACAGACCTTTATGACATTCTGTTTTTATTGACTACAAATCAAGGGGCGAGTGTGGACATATAACTAGGATTGTACCAATGTAGATCAAAGAATTGGTCAGAAGCTTGAACCTTAATGACCATTTCAGTTCAGGTTAGCATAGTCTGGCAAAGAAATTGGCTCAACACATGCACAAGCGTTTCAATTGCCTTTGCTGGGTCTACCATGCATAATAATAAAGTAAGGACATTTCAATTTCAGTTGTTTGCTGTAATAGATTCCAATATAACTCACAATTCACAAACCCAGTCTTATTTTTCAACCAAACAAAAGAGAACACAAACGATATGGGCGAAGGTTACCTGATAAATCCTCTGAATTCTTTGGGCAGATGAACCAGAAACTATCCAGTTACTCTTTAATGATGCTCCACTTGTGAATTCGAAGCCTATCTTAACATCACAAAACATCAAATAATCGGTACTTAAACAAAATAGTCAATTTCTATGGACCCAATTAGTGAAAAATAAATTATATAGGAGTAATGCATCATACTCATACATGAAGAAAAAACTATGATGAAAACAACGGGTCGTATCAAAGAAAAGAATCAAGTGAACTTAGAATCACAATCAAAATAAAGTGACAAACAGAAAGCCCAGAGAAAAAGTTAAAAGAGTACAAACCTTAATGATGACTCACTCATGAAAGAGAAAAGAGACAACGGAACCACAAACCCTAAAAACGAACAATCTTCAAAATCCCAAAAGAGTGTCTTCTTGATAATTCTTGATCTTCTTCAGCGATCTTCATATCTTGCAAAGAATCAAAACCCACTAGAATCCCTGGGACCAAACACAAAACTCCAAGAAGAAAAGTCCAAGACTCTGCTAAAAGCATCCAAGAAAACTCTGAAAACAAATCATCACGGAAAGGAAAAAAAGAATTTCCAAAGAATTAGCAACTTGGGAACCCACTGTTTTTTCGGATAACAAGAAATGGAGAAGGGTTTACTTTCGGATAATCGAAACGGTAAAGAGTGTACTCGTGGAGAGAGAAAATGTAGTTGGAAGAAGGAGAGGGGTTTGAAAGTTCGAAAGCTGTCGAGAAGACAAATATTATATCGCCAAATCAGAGAGGAGAGAGATGGTAAAGATAGAGAAAGAGGAGCAGGTCAGCAAATTGCACCGTCCAAGACTCCCATCCAACTAACGACTTGTTGACGGTGACGATGTGCACAAAGGAAAGTAGACGGGGTTGGGGTTGGGGTTGGGGTTGCGGTTGGTTTTTTTTTTAATAGTCAACGATAATTTTATCCATTACAAAGGAGGAAAACGGAAAGGGGAAGGGAAACTCCAATTATTAATTTGTATTTTTAATGAAAAAAATATTGAATATAGCGATTATATAATATTAATAATGTCATATTATGTAATCATTTATTAATAAATAAATAAGTTTACAAATAAGTTTAATAAAAATTTATAACTACTCAATTATGTAATAAATAATATAATATAGAGTAGATTTTAATAAGCATATTCGAGGATTTTAAATAAATTTATCTAACAGTCACTAACATTTATCTTAAAATTATTTACATTACACCGTGCATTTAGTCACAAATTATCCCTAGTCACTTATATGTAAAGAAGTGGACTTTATTTTATCTATTTTTTTTATTGAATGATTACACCACGCAATACTACTAATGTTGTATAACCGTTACACCTAATATTTACTCTTTTTAATATGTTGGTCTCTTGTTGTTTTAGGCGTGCAATAAAACAAAACAAAATAATTTAGTTAATAAATCTTCCTCAAATAGGTTCACAAATAAATTTAATATTTAATACTAAAATCAAGCACAACTCCTCAAATTATCCAGCAAAATATCACTAATTTTCATTAGTAAAATTGTACGTAGAATAGAGTGTGTTGATTGAGTGTGAAGATGATATTTTTGAACATAAAAAAAATCATGATAAATTTTGTACTATTAGATCAAAATAGATAAAAATCGAATCAGCCTTGATCATAATTGTACTTTTATAAAGTTAAGAATTTAATTTGACAGACTATAACCCCATGCCTGCAATATAAAAAATTAAAAATTGATCATGTAATATTTTATAATATAAAAATAATTTTTTTTTTACTTACAAATTTAAAGTCAAAGTTAACAAAAAGAAAATCAAAGAAAAGTAGGGGGAAATAGAAGGAGAAAGAGAGAGTGCTAAATATTAATTGGTGAGGTTATCTGATATTCAGAATTATGTTGGTTGAATTATTTGACATTAAAGATTGTATAACAAAAATGATATTTATGAGTGAAAAAAATTTGGAATGAATTTTGTGTTAGAAAATTTTAAATTTATTTTATTTTATGAGTTTAATGAACCTTTAATTCAGGATTTAATGGGCTATTATAAACCTTATTCTTGATAGGGTGATTAAGTGAATTTTATATTGGGGTTACCAAGTATGGCACATAACCGTTGGTCTCCAATGCCTATAAAGAGGACTCTTCCAAATGGTCCAATGTGGAAAAATAAGTTTCTTTCTTATTTATATTTATATGTAACTTTAGCTTTATTATTTTTCTTCAATTCCAAAGTTTCATATACATGTTTTTCAAGCAACTTTGATTCAAGTTAGGTTTACCCTAATATTTCAGTGGACGTAACCTCTAAAAAAGTATTATTGTGGGCATATCTGAGTTGGATCTTAGAGCTATATATGTTTGTTAATATTTTCATGTTGGGAGACATAATTGTTTTAGGATAGTAAATACACGTTTCCTAGATATCTCAAACAAACTCTTTCTAATTTATTATTAACTATTTTATATTATCATAATCATTTGTTATAATATCATATATTTGATTTGTATTCGTGTTATTTTATGTTTTATAATTGATTCGTTAATTAATATTTATGAAATTGTACATTTTTTCTAATATTTTGTACTATTAGATTAAAATACATAAAAATTTGAAAGATGTGATAGAAATGAACGGAAAAAATATGTGAGCATATAATTTAAAGTGTTAATTATCTTATTTTAAATAGATTGTGGATAATTAATTATAAACTAAATTTAGTTTTGTGTTGTGCATGTAAAATTCCTCTCTTACATTCATTTATTTTTGCTTCTTTTTATTTGTGGGAACCATTTGTGCATGATCCTTAAAATAAATATAAAAGAAGATAAAATGGTTTATGTATAGTTTCTTATATTTTTCTCATATTAATGACTTATAACCTTTTTAATCATCTATAATACTCTATCAATTATACTTTATATAATTTATTCTTTTGGCTCTTCTCACTTATATATTTCTCTAATTATCTCTCTCTTTCCGCTCATGCACACGAATAGCCGACATACTTTTTTTTTAACACAAATATGGATAATTATCACACAAATTGTTCATTAATCCAATAACTATTGCACACAACATGACTAACCAAATACAAAACGACATTCGTATCATGACATGACACATGGACATAAATAGTATTATACCGAGAGAAAGACCGAATTTAAGAAATAAAATACTAAAAAATAGGATAGGAATGTGGATCCTCTAGGGTGCATAGAATAATTATTTGCACAGGCATGTCACGTTAAATCACACATTAATTTGCAAAAAAATTAAATAAAGACATCTTACTGACATAGATTATATTCAATTTTTCAAGCAACGTAAGTATCACGAGACTAGGTCCAAAAAAGCCGCTGACCTTCCCTAAACTTTGTAATTACACAACTTGAGAGGGGGTGTAGTTAGTAATTGCTTGCCCATATGAAAGTACTGTCAATTTAGTAATTTACTTGATGGGACACCAAAATTCCATGTCACTGCATTTGAAAATATAAATAGTCAAATAAATTGGGTCTTAAATACGTAATTAACATCATTCCAACACAATAAAAATTTATCTTCTCTTTAAGTACCTATTGACTTAAAGATTAAAGGAATCAGTTGGACACGTTTTGGGCCCCTTCAAACCTCGCTCTGTGTACACAAGACACTCAAGCTGTCTCATATTGATGCCACTATCACAAAACTATTGAGCCAAAAAAAACACCCGTGCAACATTTGTTATAAACCCATTGTCCCCTATCCTGCTAAATCAGCCAAAAACCATCAGCCACACAAGACATGGTACATGGCACGTCCTCAAGCTCAACCAAGTTTTGGACCCCTCTCTGTGTGATTCGGTCCTTTTGGATTGTCATAGATTCAAGTCAAGACCTCTGGCATGTCTGCCAACTGTCGTCAATTAACTTCCACGTGGCATCCCTCTGGCTCATAAGCTGCCACCTCATCAGACTATGAACACGTGTCGTCACATGACCAACCATAACTAATACAAAAAAAAAGCATATATGGACACTGGCGTAACTATTTCCCAAGACCATCACAACTTGACTGTAGCATGTATTAACTGTAAGCAATGGCCACCGAGAAAATAGAGTGCCACTGTAAACACGACGACGGTAAGGCAACCAAAGAAGAAGATGTACTTGATGTTCATGCAGTGTCTCAAATGTGTCGTGACCATGGCCGTGGTATTTCGGCATTTGAACGCATGGACGATCGCAAACCCACCATAGATTGCGACAAAGTCGACGCCGACGATGGCTCTGGTGATGTGCCCGACATATGTCCCGCCATTAGCCAGCAAGCTTATCATTTTAAGTGCATCAAAGGATAAGATTTCCAGGATGTTCAAGCAAGCAGTGTGAAGGTTGGAATGGATGTTGTATGTATAATTTTATTTCTCTATTTTTTTTTGTATATCGATGTATAAAACAGGAAGTTTAATCTTAACCTTGGTTTTTAATCCTCTTCAACTCTAATAAAGTTAATAAAAAAGTGTTGCATGTAGGGGCGGGACTCATGCCAACTTTCTGACACTCATATGCCGC